AGCTGAAAGCATTCCCATGCAGAACTGGAAAAGACAAGGATGCCCACTGTCACCACTTCTATTCAACATAGTGCTGGAAGTCCTAGCCAGAGCAATCAGGCAACAGAAGGAAATTAAGGGTATCCAAATGGGGAAAGAAGAGCTCAAACTGTCACTCTCTGCTGATGATATGACCTTATATCTAGAAAACCCCAAAGATTCTACCAAGATACTTCTAGAATTGATAAATAAATTCAGCCAAGTCTCAGGCTACAAAGTCAATGTACAAAAATCAGTAGCATCCTGATACACCAACAACAGTCAAGCTGAGAATCAAATCAAAGACTTAATACCTTTTTCAATAGCTACAAAGAAAATAAAATACCTCAGAATTTATTTAACTAAGGAGGTAAAAGATCTCTACAAAGAAAAGTATCAATCATTGAGGAAGGAAATTGAAGATGATGTAAAAAAAATAGAAAAACATATCATGTTCATGGATCAGCAGAATCAACATTGTTAAAATGTCCAGACTACCCAAAGTCATTTACAGATTCAATGCAATCACCATCAAAATACCAATATCATTTTTCACAGATCTAGAAATAATACTTCTATGCTTCATTTGGAACCAGGAAAGAGCCCAAATAGCCAAAGCAACCTTAAGCAAAATGAACAGATCTGGAGGCATCACTTTACCAGACGCTAAGCTATACCATGAGGTTACAGACACCAAAACAGCAAGGTATTGGCACAAAATAGAGACATAGACCAATGGAACAGAAAAGAGAACCCAGAGATGAAACAACCCACATGTTGTCATCTGATCTTTGACAAAGAAGACAGAAATATACACTGGGGAGAAGAATCCCTATTTAATAAAAGGTCCTGAGAAAACTGGATAGCCACACGTAGAAGGCTGACACAGGAGCCATCTCTCTCTCTCACCACTCACAAAAATTAATTCAAGTGGATAACAGACTTAAATCTAAGACATGAAACCATAAGAATTCTAGAAGAAAATGTTGGAAAAACTCTTCTAGATAGCGGCCTAGGCAAAGAATTTATAAAGAAGACCCACAGCAACAACGAAAATAAATAAATGGGACTTGATTACATTAAAAATCTTCTACACGGCGACGGAAACAATCAACAGAGCAAATACACAACTTACAGAATGGTAGAAAATATTCACATGCTATGCATCTGATAAAGGGCTAATAACCAGTATCTACAAAGAACTCAAGGAAATCAGCAAGAAAAAGTCAAACAACCCCATAAAAAAGTGGGCAAAGGCATGAACAGAAGCTTTCCAAAAGAAGATAGACTAATGGCCAAAATAAACATATGAAAACATGCTCAATGTCACTAATCATCAGAGAAATGCAAATCAAAACCACAGTAAGATATCACCTAACCCCAGTGAGAATGGCTTTTATCAAAAAGTCCCAAAACAATAAATGCTGGCATGGATGCAGAGAGAAGAGAACACTTAAACACTGTTGGTGGGACTGCAAACTAGTGCAACCTCTATGGAAAATGGTATAAAGATTCCTCAAAGAACTAAAATATTTGATCCAGCAATGCCACTACTGGGTATTTTCCCAAAGGAAAAAAAGTAATTTTGTTAAAAAGACACTTACACTGGAATGTTTATTGCAGCACAATTCACAATCGCTAAGATGTAGAATCAACCCAAGTGTCCATCAATTCATGAGTGGATTAATAAAATGTGGTATATGTATACCATGGAGTACCACTTAGCCATAAATAAATGAATTAATACCTTTTCCAACAATCTGGATGGAAATGGAGATCATCTTCCTAAGTGAAGTATCGCAATAATGGGAAAACAAACACCACACGTACTCACTATTATAACTAACCAATTGGAACTCATATACACAGATGGAAGTAAAACTCAATGGAAATCATGCAGGTGGGAGGGAGGAGGAGGAGATAGATGAAACCATACCTAACAAGTACAATGTACACTATCTGGGTGATGGGCACACTTATAACTTTGACTCAAGCAGTATAAAAGCAATCCAATTAACCAAAACGTTTGTATCCCCATAATATTCTGAAATTTAAAAAAATAACAACAACAAAAACTTCTGCACAGCAAAGGAAAAAATCAACAGAGTGAATAGCCAACGTAGAGAATAGGAGAAAATATTCACAAACCATACATCCAACAAAGAACACAAACAAATAGGAAAGAGAAAACAACAAACAACCCCATTAAAAAGTAGGCAAAAGACAAGAACAGAAGTTTTTCTAAAGAAGATACAGAAATGGCTTAAAAAATATGAAAAAATGCTCGACATTACTAATCATCAGGGAAATGTAAATTAAAACAGCAAACATCATTTTTAATGGATCAAAATCTCCAAGCATTCCTTTACAGGTTGGCAACAGACAAGGGTGCCCTCTCCTGGCCAGTCTCAAAGGCGTCCCTAGTCAGTGCAGTGAGGTGAGGGCATTGTCTCAGGTTAGGCCTTAGAAGTCAGGAGACAAAACTGTCAATGTTTGCTAGAATCTGCAAAATTTCTAGACACAAGATCACATCATACTCCTTTCCCCCGAGTGATAATTGTTGAGAAAAAGAAACTCAAAGTAATATACCACTTACAACAGGGACTAAAACTAGACACTCTAACAGAAGAACATTCTAGAAAGAGTTTTAAAACTCTATCAAAACATCCTAAAAACTGAATATGTGGAAACTTATGCCATGTTCATAGATGTGATGATCTAAAAAAGACAAGTATCTGTTCGCCCTCAAATTAATCCATATACATTCAATGCAAGTGCTATCAAAATCCCAACATGTGGTTTTAGTGACTTGAAAGACTGATTCTCGAATCAGAATAAAGAAGAATAAATGAGAGTAGCTAAGTCAGCTTAGGAAAAGGAGAATCAAGAGGGAAGACTCACACTACCAGGTGTTAAGACAGTTTCAAAGCTATAAGGATTAAAACAGTGTGGTACTTACAGAAGGCCTAAACAGAGCACTGTAACAGAACTGAGAGGTCAGAACAGACCATGACATAGAAAACTTAGTACGTTCTAGGAGGAAGGAACATCAGCACAGCAGAAGAAAGACCAATAACATGAAATTGGCTCACTACATAAAGATTTTTTAAATGTTGGGTCCCTATCTCATACCATATTCAAAAGTACTTTCAGTTGGAATTAAAACCTAAATGTGAAAAGTAAAACTATAAAGGGAGTAGAAGAAAATATAGAAGATAGTCTATTTGTGGTTTGTGGGTGAGGAAAATTTTAACACTCAAGACCATAAACCACAAAGGGGAAAACTGATGAGTTCAGTCACCCAGAAGTCAAAGAAAGACTTCTATTTGATGAAGAACACCATAAAATCATCAGATGGAAAAGCAAGAGAATATGAATGGACATTCTATTGCTGAAAAGCTCAACAAGAAAGCCCAATAAGAAAGCCAAAAGAAAAACATGGAGAAAAGAGGAGAACATAAAATTTACAGAAGAAACCTGTTAATTTGCTAATAAGGTGCAATCAAAGAATTGCAAATCAAACAATGAGAAATACCTTTTCTCCTTCGTCTTAGAGATTGGCAAAACTAGAGAGACACTATCGAAGAGGAATGAGGGTATCTGGTGGTGTGCTCCTCATAGTCATTGGGAAACGAATGCAAACCCTAGTGAAACAAATGCGTGTATATCCTGTGACCAAAAACTCCACTCTTGGCTTCTGCCCCAGAGACACCTTCCCCAGGTACAGAGAAAAACATGCACGAAGGTTTGTAGCAGCTTAGATGTCCTTCTAAAGACAGCTCAGCAGTGACATGCAGACTACATATGTAACAGAACCACAGGTAGCCCGTGCAGTAATGATCTGAAATACAGGGAGCACCACTGACAGATCCCAAAAACATGTACTGGGGAAAAAAGTAACAAATAAAATGAAATGGGATTTGTGGAACAATATTATGTTTGCAAATTTCTAAAAGTAGCAAACACAAAATATATATTTTCTCAGATGTACATACATCAATTAAAAGAAAACTAAAGCAGGTGGGTTGAAAGGACACACACGACATTCATGGCAGTGGTGCCTTGGCAGAGGGGGAAGAGGAGCTATGCAGACACGATGTCGAGGCCGGGAGCCGAGATGTTCAGGAAGCTCAATCTAGGCACCCGAGGTGACGGATTATCTCAGGTAACACCCCCCACACACAGTTAAATTGTGTTCCAGTCCAGCTGAAGACAAAGGCTTCACCCCAAACTGTCAATCAGAGAAGGCAATGTTCTTAACTACTATTTAATAATTCTAGCCTGCTTTTTCATTTTCACTAGATAAAAGGTTTTAAACAACAATCCTGGGATTCTCTCAGTGGTTAAGTTGATTTAACTGCATTTATTAAATTCAGCAATTCTTGAACTATATACTGGCTAAAGTCAAATCTATTTCTTGACTGGAAGATGAAAAATTGAGCCAAACCCTTAGGATTATTTGGATGCAATTGTATAGCCAACCTCAGCGTCATTAGGCATCGCTTCTTTTAAATGGGAAATGAGAATTCAGGTTCTTAATGGGGGTTTCTTGGTTTATTTACTGCTTCATCACATTTTACAGCCTTCAAATAAAATCCCCAGTGATTCAACTTTCAGAGATATTTGAGATAAACATTAAAAGCCCAGGAGCCTGTATTCCTTGTCCAGTGTGGGTGTGTTTGGAAGAAAAATGTTCTCAGTTTTTGTATTTATTTACTTTAAAGGACATGCGAGTCAAGGCTTTCAGCCTGGGCTGTGGTAAGTTCCCACGTTTTATAGCTCTGAATTTTGGCTGTGGCACCAGCTTTGGCCTGAAGGCATGAGTCCTCTGTCCCTGGGCTCCACTGGAGAACTTGGTGGGCACTTGTGGATAGAGGAGGGAGTGTGGTGGTCACCAGTGCAGTGGCCAAAGTGGAGACTGTTTAAGGTAGGTGTGTGCTCATTGGCAGGTTCCAACTGCATGCCCACCCCCATGTGCTCACCGTGCCTTCGGGGTCCACAAGCAGCAGGTGCTTGGCCTGCCCATTGTGCATGCCCGTGAGGACAAAGGAACCCGGGTTGGTGGTGCTCTTCCTGACCAGGAAGTCTCCATCGTTCTCCAACAACCCCTCTGCCTCCTTTCTGCTCATCTCTCCTTGGTACCAAGGCTTGGTGTTCAGTTCCTCCAGCATCTGGGCATCCGGCGCTCTGGGTGACACAGGGCTGATGCACTCCACAGATGCTGCTTTGCTCAGCATGGGCCCCAAGGACTGGTTCTTGAGAGCATCTTCAAAAGGTTCTGTTGTCAACGACATGTACCGGGAACAAGTCAATCCCAAGAAGAGCGAAGGATGAAAAACACAATGTGAGAGATGGAAATGCAAAGGTAACTCCTCTCAAAGGCAGAAAAAACACTGGAGAAAAATAACTGTCTGGTAGCATAACAAGAATCATCATAACAAGCAATTAAAAGTACAGCCCAAATTTTGGCATAACTTTCTGATGAGTCTGTCTTCCTAAGACAGCTGGGAGTTGTGCCTTGTGCCAAGGATTCAAGAACACCCTTTGTCTAGCTAGCTGGAATGGCTTCATTTTTGCATGCTGCAAGAGGCTGTGCATATTACACACCATCTACTTTCTCTGGAATATCAGCCAGCCTCTTTAACAAACTCTAAATAAAATCCTGCCAATACCAAAAGAAAACACAATCCACAAAGCATTGATTTCAAGCAAAACTTAAGCCCAACTCGCTAAAGGTTTATTTCAAAATCTTTGCATCAGGCAAACCTTTAAAAAGAGAAGAAAATGGACATGTATTGGGTGCTTCCTGTGTGACTTGCTCCAGACTGGGAGCTTTGCCTCTCTTTGACCTTCACTTGTTTCCCTGTGGAGAGAGGCTCTTAGTGAGTGCCGGAGACTGCGCTTGGCTTCACCGTCTTCAGAGCACACTTCTCAGCGCGGGGCATGTGTGAACGGCCAGATCGCTGCTCTAACAGCAACAAACACTAGCAGCAGAAGAAGTAGCCAGGCACATCTAATTAAATCTCAGTGTTTGATTTTCAAATAAGGTAGTATGTGCAAAAGTACTCTGAATAATGCACACAGTGCTATACAAGTGAAAGGCCTTGTGATGATTATTTTGGACCACACTGTCTACCCAGTACAATGCAAGCAGCACAAGAACAGGAACAGTTCTTTTCTGAGTACAGTTACATCCCCAGAGCCACACATTGCTCCATGAACTCAGTTCATATTCTCTAAATAGTCAACAAATGCTGTAAATTAAGCCCACTTTGTTAAATGTTAGTAGAGGATGGACAAAAGTCAGGTGAATAAATAAAAACACAGTTTGGTCTTTTTGACACTTGTTAAAGCTTTGACAGATGTGGAGATAAAAAGAGACTAAAAGTTTTAGCAAAAATTTTGTTTGTGGATTTTCTCTTTTTATCCTGCTTTTTTCCTGATAACCTGGAGTAGCTGAAAATCTGTATTATTCTGTTTCTGCACTATTACCACCTTTGCTATCATTAACATCATCAGCATCATTCCCATTATCCCCACATTCATTTTATTGGCACCACCACCACCACCACCACCACTACCACCATCACCATCACCATCATGAACACCACCACCACCATCACCATCACCATCATGAACACTACCACCACCATCACCATCACCATCACCATCATGAACACCACCACCACCATCACCATCATCATCATGAACACCACCACCACCATCACCATCATCATCATGAACACCACCACCACCATCACCATCACCATCATGAACACCACCATCACCATCATGAACACCACCACCACTATCACCATCATCATCATGAACACCACCATCACCATCACCATCACCATCACCACCACCATCACCATCACCACCACCATCACCATCATCATCACCACCATCACCATCACCATCATCACTATCACCATCACCACCATCACCATCATCATCACCACCATTATCAACACCAGCATCATTACCACCACCATGACTATCATTATCACTATCAACATCACCATTATCATCATTATCAACACCACCACCATCATCATCATTACCACCACCATGACTATCATCATCATCATCATCATCATCACCACCACTACTATCACCATCATCATCACCACCACCATCACCATCAACGCCACCATTATCATCATCATCACCACCACCACCATCACCATCAACGCCACCATCATCATTATCAACACCACCACCATCATCATCATTACCACCACCACCACCATCACCATCAACGCCACCATTATCATCATTATCAACACCACCACCATCCATCATCTTCATTACCACCATCATCACCATCAATGCCACCATTATCATCATAATCAACACTACCACCATCATCATCATTACCACCACCATCACCATCAACAACACCATAATCATCACCATCACCACTATCACCATCAACACTACCATCATCATCGGTACCACCACCATCACCATCATCATCACCATCAACACCACCATCACCATTACCGCCACCATCACCATCATGAACACCACCATCATTCATCACCATCATCATCATCATCACCATGAACACCATCACAGCATCACCACTACCATCACCATCATCATATCACCATCACCACTACTATCATCACTACCATCATTATCATCACCACAAGCACCACCAATCACCATTGCCTCCATTAGCAGTCATTATTTAGCTCTAGTAGCTTAAGATAAAGAACATCCAGTGCTTGCTTTATTCATTTTCATACTTTTCAATAGATACCATCCTATCCAAAGCCCCTTTTAGTTTCTGTCTCCCCTTCTCTGGTTTTGGGAGCAGGGGTAGAAATTAATTGATAGGAAAAGGTGGTTCTGGTTCTGATTTTTCCCATCTCAAACCCCAGCCTAATATAACTCTCCTCAGGCTCTAGGGCCAGAAGTCATTGGTAAACTGACTAAATTAAGCAGTAAAAATGGTCTACCATCAACACCGCTGCTAAACTGCAGGTGGGGGGCACTGCAAAGCCCAGAGCAGGGGCCGGGAGAGCACCACCTGGCTATGCATCTTGGGAAGCAGCTTCACGCTTCTTGGTTCCACATTTATCTAAATGAAGGGACTGGCGGGAATGGATTAGGCTGCCTCAAAGCACCAGCACGCTACAGTCTGGCTCAGGTGACACTCATAAGTAAAAATGGGAGTCCAGTGTGTCTCGGAAGCCAAAGCAGCTGAAGAGGAACAGAGTGTCGTGGCATGATGCTGCCTGATCATGAAAGCACTAACCCTGTCCTCACACAGAATACCACAAATAGAAGGTACTGGACCAGCAAGCCTACCTTTTACAAGTGGTAAAGTTACTTAGCCTCCAAGGTCTCCATTTCCTGCTTTGTAAGACATGAATAATAACAGCAATCATAATATCTAGCTGCAGGGTCATTGCAGAAATCAAATACAAGAGTAGGTGCCTGGCGCATGGTAGAAACTCATTCTGTGCTAGTCTCCCTTCCCTCCCTCTTCAGCCTATAAAATTCTCAAGGAATTTGAAAGGGAAATTTTAGCATATAAAGCTCTTTGTTAGCTTGGGAAGCTCTTTCAAAATTATTTAAATTGTTGTTAAAGAATTTGCAATTTCTACTTTCATTAATCAGTTTGTGCATGATTTACTTTTCCCAGTCTACATGAAAACAGAAGGTCCATGGTACAATCCACTATATCACACTATCTACAATATTCCCGTCACTCCCCTTCACCTGTTTTATTTTCCATCACTCAGGAGCACCTATCACTACCTGGTCAAGCATAGCTAGTTTTTACTTAAGTTCCGCGAGAGTAGAGACTTTGTCTGCTCTGTTTTCCTGTGTATCTCCAGCAAGTAGAGTAGTAGTTGACAAATGGCTAAGTGCTCAATAAATGTTTGGAGAGGGATGGGGGGCAGAGAGTACTCACGAGAGAGAGAGAAGTGTTGCCATTTCTTGCTTATGTGTTGGTCTGCTTAACAGACTAAGAGCTCTATGACAACACAGGCCATCCCATTTCATTTCTGCATCCTTAGCAACCAGTACAGTAGTTGGCATGCAATAGCCAATTTATATTTTAATGAATAAATAAATAAACACATCTATTTATGTATATTGTTTGTCTCAATATATTTGCAGATCTTTGGGAGGAAAGGCAATTCCAAAAAGAGGGGGAAATTGCTTTGCCGCTTGACTGCAGAGAAGGCTGTAATCCCGAAGCCTGAAACAAGTCCAGCCGTCACCCAGAAAAGTGTAGCTAACCGTCGCTAATCAGATCCTGCTGGAAGAAAATTCAGTAATTGCCCAGACTTCACATAAAAGGCAGTATGAAGGGCAATCTCAAAATAGAAAGTAGAGACCAACGGAACCCACTCATGTCAAAGAGGTCTTTTCTCGGGCTGCTCTCGGCACTGCTGCCCACAGCCGGCCAGGCCTGGGACGGCATCTGCTGGGTGTTGATGTAGGTGGGTACCTGTCCCGTGGGGGCCACGTGCTGTCTCCCTTCTGACGTGCTGTAGATGTCCAAGGACCCTGCAACAAGAAAATGGGCCCTTTTTTCTCTTATTATGGTGACACTATTCATGCCTCTGCAGTGACTCCACCCTGCACTTCTTAAGTTCCGTAAGCCTACCAACAAGAAAACTAATCTCGTTTAAATTCTCCTCTTGCGAGCCTGTCGCCACTGTGACCTGGCTGGGATGCTGTCCAGCCTCTCATGTCAACATGGGATCTGCCAGCCAGCATCAAGGTGGACAGTGTGCTGGTGCCACCGTGACGGCCTCACCAAAGACCCTGGGCCCGGCTACCCAGCGTCACGGGAGCTGAGCAGGCCGCACCTGCCGCGCCTCTCCTCCGCTCCCTTACAAACACTCCAAAATCAAATAACTGAGTAGAACCACAGCCTGACTTTAATTTCTCATATTTTTTTTAAGTGTAAGAGAGTAAACTTTAGAAATTACTCCATTTGAGCAATACAGTCCAGTCTCTGTGTTTAGAGAGACACCTTCTAAGGAAAAGAGACTCCCCTCTTACAAAACAGCCACAGCTGCTGACCTGGCTCTACGGAGGGCACATGCTGCTGCCTTGATGGCACTTCCCAGCTGGCCAGTAGGGGTGCTGAGGCTGGGCCCAGGGCTGTTCTGTCACCTGGAGGTGGTGTGAAAGGTGTTACCCAAGAATACCTGCCCAGATCAGAGTCCTTCTGCGTGTGCTCTGTCTCCAATCCACTTACATAAACATAGTCACAAGAATGCCCTGTGGCGTTCACAGTTCTGGAAAGAGGGTGTCTCTCATGCCCTATGGGCGGGCGTGTGTGAAAGCCAGCTCAATCCAGCTGGCAGGAGTCGGTTTTGGGCTTTTTAAAAAGCTTACCCAAAAGCCCATTGCTGGAGGTTTGCCAGCACGCCACTGTCCCCAGCCTGCATGCGTGAGAATGAAGTGTCACACTGACATTCCTCCCCTGGGGAGCAGCACCTGCAGACTCATGAACGGGATTTCGCTGCTTAAGAGGTGGCACCCGAATTGCAGGCCCTTGCTTAGTGATGACTTTTTGCAGTTTGCATGTTTGTATACATTGCAAACAATTCAGGCTTTAGAAAAGAGTCTCACAAACAAGCTTTAAAAGGGAGAAGGTCAAATAGCCTTTCTGATAGCCCTTTCCAACTGTTGATGACACCGTGGGGCACCTACAGTTCAAGTGTATTTAGGGGAACAGCTACCAGCAAATTAATAAGTGACATTCTTGTTTGTTCTATGGGAAAATATATTCGCTGTTTCCAAATAAGGTTTGAAATTTATTGAGAGTCCTGAGTCTCAAAGCCCAGGCTAGGAACTTGTACAAGGCTCATTTTTGCCCTGATGAGTCTCCTACATCATCTGTTCTCCATCTGTACGGAATAACTTGAATATACCAAACAAATCTATTTAAAAATAAATCTAATATATTTTATACTAAAGTAAATATCTAATGGAGATATAGTGTCTCCATTAGTCTTTAGCAGTTATTATATGCCTATGCACACACATGTTGCACAAATACATTTTAAATGTATATAGAACAAAGATGAATAGTCCACAGTGAAAAGGTGAAACTGGCAAAATCATGGCTTGGACTTGCTGTTCCCATCCTATTCTGAGGCAGAGCCATGTGGTGGCTTCTGCCAGACCTTGTGTTTTATTGGCCAGGCCAGCAATGTGGGTCTTCTTTCATCTGGGGCAGGTGACACATGAAATTCTTTCACACCAGGGAAATTTTTAAAGTTTATTGTCACTTGCTCCCTGAGACAAATGGCTATAACAAAGGAATAAGCCTTAATGTTAAACCAATAAATAGCTTAATTTATATACGCAGAAGCATCAGTTGAATCCATGTCCTTCAGACTCCGTGGGCTTGGTATCCAGGGCCCCAAGCTATTGATAGAGTGGTAAAAATTTTTAAGAGGGGAAAATTTTAAAATTAAAAGAAATCTTTAAAAGGTAGCTAGACATGTAGATATGTAGAGATGTGAATATATTCATACATATACGTAAGTATAGAATTAACTATGTAAAGAATACAGACTTGTGAGCAGTTAGCAGTGAGTACTTAGTCATACCTAAATTATTATATTAGTAGTTACATCTAAATAGATCTAAGTTGTTTATTTTTATATATCTACATTATAAATAGTTATATCTAATTAGATAGTATATCTAAATTATTTTTAATGTGTGATGTAGGAAATGTTATTATGTTTGATAAGAAGTAGAAATGTCCTTTAAAAGTACCCAGGACCTTCCCTGGTGTGGTCTCTGCCGTCAACCCCATCCTGGGCAGGTGTCTTCATGCTCCTCCTGAAGCTGACCCTGTGTCGGGGCAGGTGGGAGGGAGTGCGACAAGGAAGGAAAGGCAGCAAGCTGGGGCCCGAGCTTGCTGGGGCACTTGAGACACTGTGGGGCACACTTCCGAGCTGCCACCAGCTGCTGTCTGAAACTGGTGAAGGTGCACCTGGGATAGCCACTCCTCAGCAGCCCTGGGCAAGAGCTCTCACAGCACGGAAGCCTGGAGGTGGCAGTCCCCAGGGTGCATGAGACAGCAGGTGCAGGCGGGGTATGAGCTCGTCCTGGCGCTGCAGGAGGCACTATCTGATTGTGCCTGTGGATGTCAGTGACAGTGTTGTTTCTATGTCTGTGATCTCGTCTGGAATCTGCAGCACCACCCACAGCAAATGCTTTCAGGGGGTCGCTCTGCCACTCCACAGGAAATGGATGACCCACTGGCAAGCCCGTTACCTTTTAAAAGTACTTTTTGTTTCCTCACCCACCGCACTTGCCTCTCACCTTGCCTGACAGGTGTTTGCTGCCAATCTTCGCCAAACGTGTCTCCTAAGTGTCTTCCCTGGTAATAAGTTTGCTCTTTTCCTGCAAACTATAGACACATGCAAATACACAAAAAGAAAGAATTATACTCTTTTCATCTCTAGAAGCCATAGGACAGTAGGCAGGACCCGAAGGGCAACTGCCTCCTTTGCTACGCCCAACTTTCCCTCGTGCCTTGCAGCTGGCATTTAGATTCAGGAAATAAGTTTGTGTGGGTGTGAGGAGAAGGCTGCATCTCCGTCAAAACTACACACGGCCCCTCTTGTTTTCGCTCTCCCCACCGCCCTCCGCAGTGTGACAGTGAATCAAGCTCTTCCATATGCACGCCTTAAAATACATTTCCGTTAGAGAGTGTCTGCGTGTCAGAACATGCTGCCAACTTAACACACACGCCTGGAATCATCCACACGCAGGCATGGCCACTCTGAACCAGGAAACTTCCTCCGAAACCAGGAAACTCCCTCTCCGTGTCAGATCTTTGAGCTCAATGTTATTTTGCCATTTTTATTGGTGTCATTATCATTCATATAAGATAGGTGACGTTAAAAATTTCCTATAACAAAATAGAGATATCATAACTCTAGAAAGCCTTACTAGAATTTTGAGTTGGAAGAACAATTAGGAGAACAAATAAAATAGAAAAACACATAAAATTCTCATCATTTTAAGGGCCTATATCTACTTTCTTTTCAGAGAACCTAAAGCACTCCAGGCCTTTTTCAAAGTTTTGAGTTCTCTCTTCTCCTCACTAAGATCAAAGCGTGACAGGGTTCATGAGGGTGGCAGGACACACCCCGACTCAGACCTCAGGGATCACAAGGCATTTGGCTACTGTGCTGTGATGCTTTGTGAGAGTTTATGAGTTACTGTGTCAAAAACTGAACAGAACATTGTCCTGAAATAAAATTGAAGAAAATAAAAGGAAATAAAGTTAAGTTAGCCACCATTTAAGGAAAAAGTACACCACTTACCTGGGCCGTGTCAGGAGCATGGGGTTTGGTTTTCAGCCGAGCATCAAGAAACCCCCCTGGAGGAGGCATCGTGCTTGGAACGCTGTTGTAGTAGGGGCGGTCTGCACCCTCCCCCTCCTCTTCCACCCATGGCTCATCCAGGCTCTGCATTCTATTAAAAGAGAATTTTCAAAGGTTTTAGCCAAAAGTTGAGCTTGCAGTCAAACCCAACAAATCTAATGTCAGTACTTGCTACTAAGAAAAAAGAGTTTAGTCAGTACCCCTGCAAACATCCAGGTCTTATGCATATATGAAAAACAGGTCAGTCATTTCAGCAGACATCCATGCCTTATTCAGAGTCCCACACACTGGGAAATTGCAGTCATGTTTGAAAGAGCTTCTTTCTTTAAGTACATTTTAATTAGTAAAGAAATTATGTCTAAGGATAGCCAGATCCTCAAGGCATGGGCAAACATTTCAGTGTCATCAAATTTACCCAAAACAGAGTCAACTAAAAAATGGATATGTAGTGACATCAGGGGAAATGCCAGAGTAAGGACATCTGAAAATTCTCTCTTCCATAGAAGCAACAAGAAAACTGGCCCAGAAAAATCCCAAAAAACACTTTTGTCAGAATCAACTTTTTCAGAATTCAAAATTAAGCAGAAGCTTACAACTCAGGGAGAATTTTTTTTAAAAACAAACAAACAGTATAGTATGGTATGGTATGGTATGGTATGGTATAGTATAGTATAGTATAGTATAGTATAGTATAGTATCATATAGTGGCATTTTAAATTGCCCAGTTTTCATCTCTGATAGCCTTGAAAACCAACAGCCCACGATCACAGTGAAAACCAGCAGCCTGGCGGCCACAGAAGGGACAGAGCAGCACCGAGGCTCTGCCCAGTCCCAGAGAACTATCCTGAGTGACGTGTCTGGTGGTTCCTTGGAAGGCCCAACTCTCAAGGCTGTCTTTACTTGACCTGACCTGATTGGAGCTTGCCCAGGGCAAAATGTCTCTTCCCCAGGAGCCATTTGTCAAAAACAACTAGAGACAAGTGTTTAACATTGAGGTTCACTGAGGCAGTGGATAACATTTAGGTCAAATAAAAAATATTTGGGTTAATCAAAAAGCTTAAAAGGAAAACCTGGGAAATGAGATATCCATAGGACTTTTAATAAGCTCTGACATGTTTCTGGGAATCTAGAAGGATTCTAGATTGTTCATGCCCAGCACTGTGTGCCTGTTTAGCACAGATGTGAGAGGGCCCTACACTCTCACTTCTCACTGACCTTGAAGCTCTGCCCAAGCAGAAAGTGAAGACTAGGGCAGAGTTGGCAACTGCCTGCCTGAGTGTTGAAGAAGTGCCCCCTGTAACACACACAGAATCCCTCAGAAAAGACCAGGAGACTTCTTAGTTCCAGGCATTTAAGGACATATCTCTCCAATTATTAACTGACCAGTAAGCAAACCCAGCAGAGCCATCAGTGGAAGCATATGACTAAAAATACAGGCTTTACAGAATTAGTTTAGAAAACCACTAAAACAAACATCCAAAACAAACAGGAGCAGCAACAAATCCTGAGGAAGGGAGAAATCTGATTTCCAAAGTTGCCACATCACATTACATTATTTTACATCACATTACATTATTTAAAATTTCCAGTACAACAAAAAAATATGAGACATGCAAAGAAATAAGAAAGTATGGCTCATACTCAGGAAATAAGCAATTAATACAAATTGACCCTGAGAAACTCAGACTTTAGACTAAGTAAACAAAGACTCTAAATTAACCCCTTTAAATATGTTCAAAAAACTAAAGGAAGCCATGCATAAAAACTAGACAGGGGAATGGTGCCTCACCAAACAGGGAAGGAATATCAATATGGATACAGAAATAATAATAAATCAAACAAATTATGGAGTTGAAAATTCTAATAACTGAAATAAAAAATTCATTTGAGATGCTTAACAGCTTAACAGCAGGTTTGAGCAGACAGAAGAAAGAATGATAGGTCAATTTAGCTTATTCAGTCTGAGGAACAGAAAAGAAAAGAGTTAAGAAAATTGAAAAGAGCCCCAGAGACCTATATGGCACCATTAAACATACCAACATATACAAAATGTCGTGTCCTGGGGAGAGGAAAAACTGAAAAGGACAGGGGGAATAAAAAGAAAAAACATTTGAAGAAAAAAAATGGCTGAAAACTTCCCAAATTTGATTTTTAAAAATTGATCTGTTCATCTAACAAGCTCAAAAAACCTCAAATTGTGATAAACTCAAAGAGATTCACACATTGTAATCAAATTGTTTAAAACCAAAGAGAAAAAAAGTCTTGAATGCAGCAAGAGAGAAGCTACTCACCATGTACACGGGCTCCTCAATAATATTAACAGCTGATCTCTTACCAGAAGCAATGGAAGCCAGAGGCATGGAATGACATAGTCCAAGTGCTGAGGTAAAGACTGTCTACCAAGAACTCTATAGCCAATAAAACTATCCTTTAAAAATGAAGTTAAGAGAAAGTTAAGATATTTTCAAATAAATAGAAATGAAGGAAATTCAGTGCTAAAAAATCTGCCCTATAAGAAATATTAAAAGTACTTTAGGCTGAAATGAAAGGGAACTAAATAGTAATTCATATCAACTTGAAAAAATAGAGAATAATGATAGAGTTAACAACATAGAGAAATATATAAGATAGTATAAATGTAGTTTTTGCCTATAGCTTTTTTATTTCACCCCTCTAATTTAAAAGACAACTAAATAAAGCAATAATTACAAATCTGTGTAGGAGATTACAAATCTGTCTGTATAATGTATAAAGATGTAATGTGCATGGCCATAGCAGCACAGAGGAGAATGGAAGGAGGAAGCCACATGGGAGCAAAGCTTTTGTATATTATTGAAGTTAAGTTGGTCTTAACTAATTCGTTATAAATTAAAAGGAGAATTGTAAACCTCAGGGCAACCACTAAGAAAATTACTTTTAAAAATACTAAAATAAACAACAAGAAACTAAATGGTGCACTTGAAAAATATTTTTTTAATATCAAAGGAGGTCTTAGGTTGGTGCAAAAATGGATATGAAGACAATATGGCTGCAGCATCTGTCATCCCATTGATAAGCAGGGTTGATTCAGCTGATCTGGCTAGCTAGGCAGGTGTCCCCTTCCTCTCTCACTACTCCATATGCTTCCTTTCCAAAGCTGCAAGCTCGAGCTCAGTGAAAGAGGACAACTGGCCCCTATAGGCTGATGCAAAAGTAATTGCAGTTTCAGACCACGAACTTTATTTTTTTATTTTATTTTTTCAGCATATTATGAGGGTGCAAATGTTTAGGGTATGTATGTTGCCATGCTCCCCTACCACCCTCAAGTCAGAGCTTCAAGTGTGTCCATCCCCCAGATGGTGCACATCACATTCATTATGTATGTATATACCCATCTCCTCCTCCCCCGTCCCACCTGCCCAACACCAATAAATGTTACTCCTATATGTCCACTTAGGTGTTGATCAGTTAATACCAATTTGCTGGTGAGTACATGTGGTGCTTGTTTTTCCATTCTTGGGATACTTCACTGAGTAGAATGGGTTCCAGCTCTATCCAGGCAAATACAAGAGGTGCTATATCACCACTGTTTCTTATAACTGAGTAGTACTCCATGGTATACATATACCACATTTTATTAATCCATTCATGTATTGATGGGCAACGGTTGTTTCCACAGTATTGCTATAAACATTCGAGTGCAGACCATGAATTTTAAATCATTGTAAATAGGCTCAAACACATCTTTATTAATCAAAGTAGGAACCATTACAATCAACACATTTTTGCCAATGAGAAATAAGTTTGTTTATTCCTGTGGAATAAAAATTCATGCTTCAGGATTCAAGCAAACTCTTGGAAAGCGTTTTCTGCATCCTAGTTGTGGAAGCGGTTTCCCTGAAAAAAGTTGTTGAGATGCTTAAAGAAGTGGTAGCCAGTTGGCAAGAGGTCAGGTGAATATGGAGGATGAGGCAAAACTTTGTAGGCCAATTCGTTCGAATTTTACAGTGACGGTTGTGCAACATGCGGCCAAGCATGGAGAAGAATTGGGCCTTTTCCGTTGACCAATGCCGGCTGCAGGAGTTGCAGTTTTCAGTGCATCTCATCCATTTGCCAGGATTCAGAAAGCTGTAGTGATCAGACCAGCAGCAGACAACCAAACAGTGACCATGACCTTTCTTTGGTGCAAGTTTGGCCTTAGGAAGTGTTCTGGAGTCTCCATATTCACTTACAATGATTTAAAATCTTCTTGGTCCAGCCACTGAGCTGGTCATCACTGGTCGTCATATACAACCACTTTTTGTCGCACATCACAATCTGACCGAGAAATAGTTTGTTGTTTTGCATACAAGCAGAAAAGACCACACGTCAAAATGATGATTATTTTTCCATTAGTTCATGAGGCACCCACTTATTGAGCTTTTTCATCTTTCTGATTTACTTCAAATGCCAAACAACTGTAGAATGGTCAATGTTGATTCTTCAGCAACTTCTCATGTAGTTGTAAGAGGATCAGCTCTAACGATTGCTCTCACTTGGTCGTTGTCAACTTCCAATGCCAGCCACTGCGCTCCTCATCTTCAAGGCTCTCATCTCCTTTGCAAAAATTCTTGAATCACGACTGCCCTGTACGTTCATTAGAAGTTCCTGGGCCAGATGTGTTGTTGATGTTGTGAGTTGTCTCTGCTGCTTTATGACCCATTTTGAACTCAACTAAGAAAATCGCTCAAATTTGCTTTTTGTCTAACATCATTTCCATAGTGTAAAATAATGTCAAATAAACAGCAAGTAATAAGTCATTAGCAAAAAAACATAAAGTGAGAAATGTGCATTAAAATGATGTATAACATAACTACATTTATTTAAGAATATATTCCAATATCAAACAGCAAATAACAATGCTAAAACCACAATTACTTTTGCACTAACCTAATAGTAATGAAGGAATAGCAAAATGGCAGGGAAAAATCCTAACTAAAAATAATTGCATTAAATGTAAATGCATTAAACATTCCAACCAAAAGGCAGAGATTGGCAGAATGAATTAAAGAAGGATCTAACTACATGCTTCCTATAAGAGACACACTTTAGATTTAAAGACATAAATATATT